ATGCAAAAATGCTGTTTGGGGGTGGAGATACGCTTTAAATAGTGGACTGTATGTAGGGTAATATAAACACTGTGGTTTGCTTGAAATGTGTTGATAATGTTATATTGCAAGGTTTTGTACACTGCTCCAATATGGAGGCAAAGAACGCAGAATATGAAACATCAATGAATATCAAGTGAAGAAATAGCAATGGCGGTTATTCCCACCTTTCCGGTAAAAAAAAAAAAAAAAGGTTCCTTCCCCCTCTTCGCCAGCATTGAATCGGCAAGTGAGAAAAGACGAAGAAGAGCAAGGCTGGTTGCATAAATAATACGAATACAAATGTGGCGCTAACAAGAGCTGTAAGCTACAGGTAAAACGGCGCAAAAAGTTGAACCAACAAGAGTCTTTCTTGTCACCATTGTCACAATTAGGACACCTATCAGGAATCTACAGATGAGTGTTCGGATGTTTGGTTTAGTTTAGTTTGTTATGTGTTTACCCATGGTTACTTCAATCTTTAAGAATTAAGAAGCAACAGGTATTTACGTAATGTTAATTAGGCAGATTACCGTGACAAGCATTGTTGCCATCCTTCTGATCAAGGTTTTTGCAAATATCTCAGTTTTTAATAACACTTAACTATTTTTACTATTTTTCTGTACGTCCAAAATACCCCCAGACAACACCTCCAGAGGCATGACGCCAATTTTGAATCACCCCGTATAAATATCTTTTGCATATTGCGGAACACTGTACCTATTGTATCACAGTGATCTAAACTGCACGTTATTGTGTCTGTATTCTGGAAAATACAGTGTATCCATATTTTTAATATTTTGAGTATACCTATATTTTTATTATATAAGTACTTAACATGTTCTAGTACGTACTGCAGTATCCGTTTTTAAGTAAAACTTTCATAGGGATAGCTCAGTAAATTTCAGTTGATCTACCACATGTCTTTGATTTATTGAATATGTTTTCATTTCAGATAACAAAGTGTTCGAGAATGCGAATTTTCTGCGGAATGAGAATCTGCAGCTTTCCGTTCAAAATGAAAAGCTGAGAATAGAAGGCAATGATGGAAAACCTCTTAATTCCACAGGTATACTTCATTCTATATTGTTGTTATTTATTAAACATTAGTAATACAGCTACTTATTTCCGAACATGTTAATTCCCTGAATCTAATTTATGTTTCAGAGGCAAAACTGCATGAAGAGGTTCAGCAGTTTAAACAGAAATTTCTAGTCCAAGCCGAAGAGCTTACCGAACTTCATAGGAGAAAAGGCGAACATGCTCAACAAATAATAGATTTGACTTCAAGATTACAAGAACAGGACAAATTAGTTGCAGTTAGAGATTCCAAGTAGGTTTTTGTTTCAAATTATTTAAATATATTAAAGCAAGGACTTTTTTCGAATTATCTTTACGAACTTTAGGTTTATACTTATCAACTAAAATTGATGGATTTACTTAAAAAACTAGTATGCTTTCGGTTTGTCTGAGTATTTCTCTTTTAAAACGGCGGAGATGTTGACAAATGCAAATTTTATTTAAATAATATTTGGACCATCTCCCCCACCGGTAAGGGGTATAGAGTTCGTAAGATAGACAGCCTACTATGGTTAATAATTATTGTTGTAAAATGGAAAATTTTTAAAAATATTTTAGGTTATACAGTAGATTTCTTTCAAAGAAAATACATAAAACTTACTTCTAAATGTAAAAAAAATTAACACTATAATATAGGTACCTACACTAGGCTAGTTTAATACACTAACTGTCGCTGCGGGGTTGCACTGTCACCCGTTGTTGCAAACCGAAAGGCTATTTTTAATTTAGAAAATATTAAGACCAGATATTGCCTTATCAATTTTGAGTTTTAGAAGAAACATATTCCAAATATATTAAATAAAAATTCAAAATCAAATAGTTAGGTTATGGGTTAGAAGTTAGAGCCTGTCGGTGCGATGTTAGTGGTGTTGCCAAAGTTCCAATTTGTCTAAACAATTTTCACATAAAATCCGTAATTACGCAATAATGGCGTAAATTAATCATTAAAAAAGTTTTATATAGATTTACAATACATTTCTTATTGCATTAGAGCCGCATATTTTATTAATAATATTAGAAATAAGTCAAATATGTCACTGTCACCTCACACCTGTCGGTGTCACAAACACCGTCGTTCTGCTTTTTAACGTGATGCTTATTAACGTTACCGCTACTCGGACGTAAATAAAGGAACACGTTATCCTCTTATAACGTTAACGGTTATTTTTTTACTATTGCGCATGCTCAGAATAACGGATAACGTAAAGCGTGTTGCAATTAAGAGGCCTAAAAATGACCTAAGGTCACACATTATTGTCACTGGACCATCTCCCTTACCGGTCCATGTCTTCATTGCGACAGTGCCAACCACATATTGACAAAAAATGTGTTTCACGGAATAGTATTTTTTCGCATACAGCTACATAAGCTCCATTAACTCAATTTTTTCTTCCTTTTTTGAATAATGGCTTATGAGTTTGTAATACATTGTTGCATTCATTGAATACATCATTTGTTGTAAGCTTCTATGGTAATGCATGTTTTCAAGGTAGTATTTCAAATTGTTTTTAATTCCAGTTTAGCAGAAGTTCAAGCAAAAAATCTAAGTCTGCAAGCTGAAGTAAGCATGTTAACCCATGCAAACAAAGAACTTAAGTATATCAACGACACTCTGAGGGATGAACATCGAACATTACAGTTAGCATTCAATGTTCTAGAAGAAAAACTTAGGAAAGCGCAGGTATGTTATCTAAGGTGTAAAAAGTGTATATTTGAATAACAAAGAAATAATTTTTATATGAAAATTTAATGAAGGTGACAATCAGCCCTGTGCTGTATCATAAATGCTATTTTTAACGGCCACACGTTATGGCGACTTAACAGTTCAGGATAACATTTTCGATAACGCA